AGACAGCGGAGGCCCTCATTGGCGCTGTTCGTCTCTCTGGGCTGCCCTGCGGCTTCTTACGCATCGCCACGGCTGTGGATCCGCTTCGAGGAGGGGGCCGGTGTGGACCCGGGAGGGGCCCCGGGAGCTCTGCGGAGCGGCCTCGAGGCAGGGCGGCAGAGCCTCCGTTGTCTCAGCTAGCCCACTTCCGACGTGGCCTTCCGCCGAGCGCCACCGTCGACCTCGGATCCACCCGTCGATGCAACTGGCCCTACCACGAGGCGACGACGGGGGCGGCGACCACCGCGGCGGCGGCGGCAGCGGCAGCAGCGGCCACCGCGGCAGCGGCGGCGGCGGCAGCGGCCACAGCGGCAGCGGCCTCGGCGGCGGCGGCGACGGCGGCGACGGCGACGGCGACGGCGACGACGCGCGGCGGCGGCGACGACGGCGACGACGCGCGGCGGCAGCGACGACGGCGACGACGAGCGGCGGCAGCGACAGCGGCGGCGACGACGACGACGAGCCTTGCGGCGACGGCGGCCGACGCCGGAGAGGCGGCCCCGCTCCTGCCGCGGGCGGCGGCGGGGGCGCCCGCGGCGCCCCGCGTCCACGAGCACCCGCTGGTGCTCACGCAGCCATCGGACGCCCCTCGGCGGCCCTCGGCGGCTCTCGGCTGTCCTCGGCGGCGCTCGCTGGCCCTCGGGGCTCGGGCTTTTGGGGCCATGTGTGCGGGAAAGCCTCGAAATGCCGGTTCGTATTCCCCCTCTGTGGGGCCTGTCAGGGCTTTCTTGGCGCTCCTCTGGGCCATCTTAGGGGGCCCCATCGGGTCGTCTTGGGGCCCCTCTGGGGCAGTCTTTGTGGTCTCTCGGGGTGCCTCATGGGCAGTCTTGGGAGCATCTTGCGAGCACTTCGGGCCTGGCCGTCTTGGACGCTGAGAAGACGCAGAAGACGGGCGTGCTAAAAATGCACGTTTACCCTAGGGATTTGGGACGATGTTTACCTCGTGGGGCCTGCTCGGCAGCCATCTGGGAGCACTCATGGGACCATCGGTGAGCATCGTGAGCCGTCCGTCGAAGGCATCATGGACCGTCGTTGGGCTACCCTGGGCCGCCTCGACGCTCTCGTGACTATCGTGGCGCGCTGTTTGGGCTCTCTGGGGCCTCCTGGGGGCTTTTTGGAAGCCCCCGAGGCCCCAGAAGAAGAGCTGCTGCACCCCCCACCCTTCCACGGCATGTTGGACCCCGGACCCCCGGGGAGGGGAGACGAGGGAGGGGGACAGCCAAATGATGTCTCACACGCCTTCTCCTTGGCATCGCTCGGACGTGTGCATTTTTCCTTCGGCGATGACCATCGAGGAGCATCCCTGATCATTGGGCGAAAAATCCACGCACGAAACCAACAAAAAAAAACAGGGAATGGACGCCCGAGCGATGGCCAGTTTCACCCCCCGCAAGCGGGGGTCTGCGGACTTTGTCCATGGCAGTTTGGCGTCCTGTCGCCTGGGCAGTGGCAAAAACCGCGGCCTAAGACGACCGCCGGCAGAATGTAGAAGCTTGGATCCCAAGGCCGACAGATTCGCGTCATCGGTGTACGCGTCGAAGCTTCGAAGCCTCCCATTTGAGAAATCACCATCCGCACATGATCCTGCGAAAAAGGTGTCGAAAGCGTCGAGAGCATGAACTCTAACGAGGGTGGTGGCCATGCTGCATCCAGCGATGATGCAGCAAGTCGCGTAAATGGCCAGGGTGGAGATACCTACGAGAACCATAGGGAGTAGTGAAGGAGAGAAGGAGTGATGATGATGATGATGATGATGATGATGATGATGATGATGATGATGATGATGATGATGATGATGATGATGATGATGAGAATGATGCAAATGATGATGCTTATGATGATGATAATGGTAATGATACTGCCAATGATGATGATGATGATGATGATGATGATGATGATGATGATGACGATGATGCTGATGGTGATGATGATGGTGATGATGCCGATGATGTTGATGATGGTGATGATGATGGTGATGGTGATGATGATTATGATGATTATGATGATTATGATGATTATGATGATGACGAGGGGGAGGAGGAGGAGGAGGAGGAGGAGGAGGAGGAGGAGGAGGAGGAGGAGGAGGACAGGCTCGAGGGGACACATCGCTAGGGCTTGCGTTTACTTGCATTGTGATGATAAGGCTGCGCGTGCTGCTGTTCAGTCCCCTGCTGGCGGACGGTGTACACACTTAGTGTGTTAGGGGGCGGTCAGTTTAAGCACTCAGCTTTTTGTTCGCTCTACCTGGACGCAAGCTCCGCGCCTAGGGGATGGACCTTGTTACGCGGGAGTAGGAAATGAAGGAGGAGGAAGGAGGAGAGGAGAGGAGGAAAAACGTCGGGGGTGGGAGACTTCGTTGGGATGTAGTGCGTCGGTTATGCAGGCTGTCGATCATGCCGCTGCCAGTGTGTATTTCCAGAGACTGGAGAACGCGTTTTGTTTTCCATCCACGGCTTGCGTCTCTACAGCTGCAGCGCCCAGGGATTGTAGATTGGCGGCCAGTGTGCATGCTTGGTGTGCTAGGCCCCCAACGTTGAGCCTAGGGCGCTCATCTTGGAGGGAGACGTCGAGGTGGAGGGACGAACCTCGGTGCGCAAACTACAGACGGCCCAAGCTGGGCCACCACAGGTCTCAAAGACAGAAACACGTACGACTGGGTGGCATTCACGGGGTCAATGAATCACTGGTCAGTCTCAAAGCGAATTATCAGTTGTGTGGGAATCTGTACAACACCTGGGGCTTGAGTGAGAGTCCAGGGGTTTACCAGACCACTGAGCGGCATAGTTAAGTGCCCGCAGGAAAAGCAACCAGGGGCGTGGGGAACGGATGAATACCGCGCACAGCCAGGCAAGCCGAAGGCGGGGAATGACGGGGGCCGGCGGGAAGTTGGACGGGACGGCAGAACAGAGCGCATACACACAACGCACAGCGCACATAGTACGCCAACGCACATGCGGCTTTCCAACATGGCACACGGTGCTCCCAGAAGTGGCACCTGTTCTGGCATGTGTTGTTCCAGCTGCGTGGGGCACCCCACTGTTTCGTCCGCGGCCAACCGTGCATCGTCCGCGACGCCTTAGATCTCCTGGCCCAGCGACCCTCTGTCGCACGGACGGATTCTGTAAGAAGCCAGCTTTTTCAGAGCACTCGTCTTCAGCGGCTTGACGGCCTCTCCAGCGGTCTTGCATCCTGGGAGATCTGTCACTCGGCGGGGGCAGCCGTGATCAGCGCGGATCCACCATTGGCTCGCCCCCCTCTCACAGGACCACTTCTCCGCAGCGTGGACGTGCGACGGCTGCCGGACGAAGACCTTCGTCTTCTCCAGTCGCCAGCGGTACCGCTGCGCGCAGGGGTGCAACTTCGACCTCTGCGGGGACTGCCACAGGTGCTTCGGATGCAACTCCTGGAAGGTTGAAATTACGCGTCTGCGCTGGCATATCTGGGGTCGAGCCGTGGCCAAGCCCAGCATCATTCCGCTCAGTCTGGCTTAAGTCCGTAGGCGCGCTGACAGCAATGTAGGTATTGGCGATATAGGTTTCGGTATTGTGGGAACACGGGGTTCGTGCTTTCCTAAAAATTGTTGTTTCTTTTTGGTTTGATGCATTCTCACAGGAAATGTAGGAAATTGTGGTTCGCCATTTCCTACAAGCTTGTTCACAACATCACCGTCAAGCAACATCGCCACTAGCCTGGCCTTGGCAATTCCACTCAATCCGGCGTAAATCCTGGCTGGCTAACCCGGCTCAGTTCTGGGCTCGATCCGGCGCGCAATCCGGCTCCAGTCGTTCAGCTGCAGGGGACAAGCACAGACACAGATTCCTGTCGATGCCTCGGGGCATGTGCAACAACTCGGGGAAGTGTGTGTGGTGTGGTGGGAGACGACCATCCAGGAAAGGTTGGGCAATCGATGGGGCCTCCTGGGACTTGTGCTCCTGCTCCCCTTGCGTGCGGGCCCCCCTGTCGGGCGGAGCCCGCCCAGTCTTGGTCTATCTCGCGACGCGGACCCCCCGAGGCCTGGACCGCGTCCCCGGCACCGGTCTTTCATCGCCGCCTGCGGCACGAGCCGACTATACGTAGGAGTGACCTCTCGCCGGAGTGGCCGTCGGTGCGGGCCCGGTGGGGCCCCCCGATCGCCGAGCGCGGTGCGGTGGTAGCGTTTGGGGCGGGCTTGTGTGTTGGTCCCCCCGCGGCCCGCAAGAAGCCGCGCACCGAAGGTCACTCTTACCCAGGGTCGCTCTTACCCAGGGTCACTCTTACCCAGGAGCTCTCTGAGGCATCACGGGGCGTTGTCCCGCCTCGTGGCAAGCATCTGGGCGCCTGCCGTTGCAAGCTGCTGCCGGCAAAATATGGATGTCATCATGGTGCCGTTTTTGTTGACGGCCCCGAGGCCCAGCAAGGGCCCCGGGCTTCTGAGCACATGGCGACAAAAAGCTCCCGCCGCGATGCTGCCACGACCCAGCGATCCGACGTCGTGATTTTTTCAAGACGGGGTCCCTGGAAGTCGACCCATTCGCCAGGACGGCTTTTTCATCCTGAGTCGCTTTTTGCAAGGTCTGGGGGCGCGGCGCGGGCCCCTCGTCGAGGCCGAAAGATTCGAAAAACCTCCGTCGTGATTTTTTCAATGCGTTGGATCTCACCGCGCAGCGGCGCCGCAGAAGCCTCGTGGTGCAGCGCCGCAGAAGCCTCGCCCCTGGCGCCGCAGAGGCCCCGCTCCTATAGCGCCCGCCTGCGGGCGACTGCCCCGGACCCGGGCGCCCTGGGGGACGGCGGAAACACTCCCGCCACGTTGGATCTCTGGGGGCGCGAGGGGCCCTCGGGCACCGCCCTCGCGACGAGGCCTCCCGGGAGCCGCTCCCCGCAGGCCCCCCGCGCGCGGCGCCCCCGCGGACACGCCCTCCGCCTCCTCCGCCGCCGGGCGCGGCGGCCCCGCCGCGCCGCCGGGCGCCGCCGCCGCCCGCCAGGCCGGGCGGGCGCCCGCCGGCGCCGGCCGGCCCGCGCCCGCGCCCTTCGTGGTGAGGCCTGCCGGCGGGCTGAAGCAGCGGCGGCCCAGACCCCCCCGAGGCAGGGAAGAGTCGCGGCGCCAGGTCATGTGGCACTCTCGAGGGCCTCTCGAGGGGCCCTGCTGCAGGCCCTCGCGAGGCCGTCGAGGCGCGGCGGCGGGAGGAGAAGCCGCTCCCGCGGAGTGGGTCGAGACCCCTGGGGGGTCGACGCCATGAAGAAATCACGACGTCGGGGGTCTGGGGTTTGGGTCCAGCACGCCCGAAGTAAACTCAGGACAAAAAGCCGGCCTTGGGGAAGCGGTCTGGACCGCCGGGGCCAAGGCACCTAGGGAATTGGAGCGGCCGGGTGTCTGGCAGTGGCGAGGCGTCCTGGCTTACCCCTTGTCGGGGAGCAGAGAGCGGCATAGAGAGTCGGATCGAGGCAGAAGAGATCGAGGTTGGTTCGGGGAGAGTTCCCCGTGGTGTTCTTCGGGGGGGTGCGGGCTGGTCTTGTGCCTCCTCGAGAAGGTACCCTTGAGGATGTGATTCCCCAATCAGTGTTTGTACTGAAGGAAGTCCTAGCGGAAGGTGAAAGATTTGGCGACAGTTTCCCACCGATGTCCGGGTTCCCGGTTCCGGGTGCCCGGGGTTCCGGGCCGATTTCGGTGGGTTCTGGGTTCCCAGGCTCCCGGGTTCCCGGTCGATCTCCTCAGCGAAAACCGTGCATTGATTGGGGCTTTTCTCTGGTAGAATCTTCTTGGTTTGACCCGTGGAGGGTTTTGTGTTCTTGAGGGACGTTCTTCTGGCCCAGCGACTGTACGGTGGGGGCATTCGTTAAGAAATGTGCCTAGGAGGCTTCAGACCCTGGAGGATTCCTTATCCAATGATGGTGGCGGTGATGCCCATGGCCACTCCACGATTGGTGTTTCGCGGGCTTCCAGACCCTGGACTCCTCATCACCCAATGCCTTCATTGTAGTCGAGGAGCAAAGAGAACGGCACAAGCAGAAACTTTCTCGAAGCTCCGCGCGGAGTTCCCAGGTCGGTGCTCGGGGCCCCCCTGGCGGCGGCTCCGGCGCCGCCCTCTCCCTGGCGGCGACTCCGGCGCGCCAGGGGACCAGAGATCCAACGCATGGAAAACATCGAGACGGAGGTGTTTCGTGTTGTTCGGCCTCTGTAGGGGCACTCGCCGGGCCCCGGGGCCGTCAACACAACGATTCGGGAGGAAAAACCGGTCCCTGGGGAAGGGGTCGAGACTTCCGGGGGCCCCGTGTTGAACAAAAACACGACGTCGGATCTCTGGGGTGGGGGGGCCCAGCGCCGAGGCAAGCAAAACCCGCGCGGAGCTCCCAAAGTTTGTGTCTTTGTATGCCGCTCCGTCGTCTTCCTCTACGAATGCCCACCAGAGAACGTTACATGTGGGGGCCTTTGGCGCGTGTGGTTCACGGGCTCGTCGGGGTTGCGTTCTGGGAGCACTGTCTGGGATATCCGAACAATCTCCTGTGCTGAGGGCGTGTCGAGGTACTCCGGATTCCATGATAAAGTAGGGGGGGGTCACATTTGGGGGGGGGTCTGATTTGAGCTGTCTTGGAGTGCTAGGGGGGGTCTGGGCAAAGTGCCGCCCTTCATGGATGGTCTGGGGGGTCTAAAACTTGTGGTCTGGGAGGGGGCGGAGGCGAAGGAGGGAGGATGGAGGAGGAGGAGGATGGAGGAGGAGGAGGAGGAGGAGGAGGAGGAGGAGGAGGAGAGGAGGAGGAGGAGGAGGAGGATGGAGGAAGGAGGAGGAGGAGGAGGAGGAGGAGGAGGAGGAGGAGGAAAGGGGAGGAGGAGGGGGAGGAGGGGGAGGAGGAGGAGGAGCAGGAGGAGGAGGAGGAGGAGGAGGAGGAGGCCTGCCATACGAGTGCCGGGGCGGTCGGCCCCTGCTCCACGGCGGGCGCCCAGGGGGAGGTGTGGCGACCGCCGGCGAGCCCTCTGCCCGCGGACCCCGTCGACGCTGGGCTGCATCGGGCATGTGCCGCCGGGGGGCGCTCGGCCCTCCTCCTCCTCCTCCTCCTCCTCCTCCTCCTCCTCCTCCTCCTCCTCCTCCTCCTCCCTCCGAGCGGAATGCCCCAGCCGTTTTTGTTCCAGAAGTCTGACTTGCGGGGGCGGGGCCAACGTGTGGCAGGTAGCCCGGAGGAGGGGGCAAACCCAGATCTCTGACGGTGTGTGTGTGTGTGTCTACGTTTTTGTTTTCAGTCCAGGCGTGTTTCCCTCATTTCGGCTTCCGTGGGCCCGCTCGCGTGGCCCAGGGCTACCAAAGCTGCATCGGGGACGCAAATCTGTCCGGATCTCCGGCGATGTCTTTTTCTGTCTGTGTGTGTGTGTCTGCGTGTCTGTGAGTCAGCGTGTCTGTGTGTCGGCGTGTTTGTGTGTATGTGTGTACGCGTGGGTATGTGTCTATGTGTCGGTGTGTGTGTGTGTGTTGTCTGTTCAATCCCAGCGTTTTTCCTGATTTCGGCATCCGGTAGAGGGAAACAATTAGTAAACACCCCCCTGCCCCCCAAACTCAAAGTTGGCACGCGCGGGGGAGACTGCGGTCGAGGTGTAACTCATTAGACCCACCGCCAACTTTGAACATTGGGGGGAGGGGGAGGCGTTGACAGATGAATGTGGCATGAGTGTTCGCTATTTTTTTCCGAGGCCTGTCTGAGCGCCCTGGAACCCCCATCACGATTGGATCTGGGGCGCACAGCTGCCTCGGGGGGAAGGGGTCGGGACCTCCTGGGGCCACGCACTGAGCAAGAAACCCACATCGCCGGACGTCTGGACGGGCACCTCCGCGAGGTGTCCTCCCGGAGCGCCCGGGCCGGCCCTGCGCGCTTCCCGTCGGAGGGCCCCCCCTGGACAGCTGGGGGCGCGCGTGACCCTCCATCGACTTCTGCCCGCGCCCGCCGTGAAGGAGGGTGGAAGGAGTACCCATCGGTCGTTGAAAGGAGGTGTTACTGGGTGCCCACATGCCAGTCTACTTTGAGCGCCTTCCTCCCTGAATGATCGAGTGGCGTCACCTTTTCCGTCCTCCCAAGGGTGCGGGCGGAAACCCGGTAGATTTTCCACGCCTTCTTCACGTTTCTATATACGTCTTCCGACCGATGGGTAAGGGGGCCGAGAGGGGGCCCAAGAACACCTCCACCCTTGGAGCCTCCCATTCACCTCTTGGGGGCCTCTTTTGGCCATCAGGGTCCGTTTGGGAAGTATCTTGGGGTCATCTCGGGCCGTCTCGGAGAACATGCTGGACTGTCTTGGAGCCCATGCTAGGCTGCCTGGCCATCCTGGAGGCTATCCTGGGCCAGGACCTTCCTGGGCCGTCTTGGGGCCCGCCTCCCTGTCGTGGGAGCCGCCCTGCGAGGGACCAGGCGAGGGACGGCGACTGCCTGTTCCGCTGCTTCTCCGACCAGCTCTACGGGACGCCAGAGCACCACGGCCTCGTGAGGGACAGGTGCTCCACGTACGTCGCCTGCGAGCAGGAGCGGTTCCGGCAACTGTGTGCCGGACCTTTCGAGGATGGGCACGACCGAAATGAGTTATGGAAAGGGCGGGGACGAAGACCGACAGCATGTCCTGCCCATTCTGAACGGGACTTCCTGACGGTGTCGCCGCGGACGTTGTCCACCTGATACAAAAAGTCGGTTGCCCAAGAACGGCCGCTGTCGCTTTTGGACAACAGTTGCTGGTGAGCATCGTACCCTTTTTCCCACACCCGTCTCGTGCGCGCCAACAGGAGCTCCTGGCTCGCATCCGCCGCGAGGGCGAGTGGGGGGACGTTCTGGAGATAGAGGCGCTGTCGGCGATGTACGACCGACGCATCGAGATCTACGCCCCCGGCTCCCAAGAGCCCATGCGCACTTTCCGCCAGGAGTGCGGGCCCCCGTCGCGGGAGCCCGTGCGGCTGCAGTACGAGGGCCTGTCGCACTACAGCTCGCTCGCTCGGCGGGGAGGGGCCGCGTTTGCTCCGCTGCTGCGGGGCCCGCCCGGCGAGGCCGAGGACGACGCCATCCGCCGCTCCAGGCAGCGCCGCGAGGCGGCCCGCAGCGGGAGGGGAGCCGACCGGGCGCAGGCGGACCGGGCAGACGGCGACGACGGTGCACCGCGAGCGGGTCGACCCGACGTCAGAGTGACCTTTCGCCGCAGTGACCTTTGGTGCGGGCCCAGTTGGGGTGCCCCAGTCGCCGAATGCGACGCGACAGCAGCGGCCTGCGCGCCCACGTTTGGCCCCCCCCCCCCCCGAATCCCCCGTGGAGCTGCGCACCAAAAAGGTCAAAGCTTGCCCAGGGGCCACTCTTGCGTATAGCCGAGCGGGGGGCACCTCCGCATCCACGGCGTCGCAGCCCGGACTCCCCGGCCGCGACCGCACGGAAGCAGGGCTGCTTTTTGCGCGGATGGCGGGTCCGGGGGACGACCGCGCCTCGGTGTGCTTTTGTCCGCGGAGCATGGACATGGACGTGTCTGCCTCCCGCGAGCACGGGACATGTGATCCACCCCTTCTCGTCCCTCGACCGGGCCCCGGACAGAGGCGAACCGCCAGGAGCCGGCTCTCGGGGATCCCGTCGTCGTCTCTGTCCGATGCCGTTTGCCTCTTGCCGTCGTCCTCCTGTTCCCGTGCGATCTCCCATCGCGAAGGCCTTGGTGCCGCAGGACCTGCGCGCAACGGGCAGCAAGAGCCATTGGCAGTCGGATGTTGAGCAGCATGCGGAGGAGGAGGAGGAGGAGGAGGAGGAGGAGGAGGAGGAGGAGGAGGAGGAGGAGGGGGAGGGAGGTGGGAGGGAGAAGGGAGGAGGAAGAGGAGGAGGAGGAGGCGGAGGAGGGGGAGGAGGAGGAGGATGGGAGGACAGGAAGAGGGGAGGGAGGAGGAGGAGGGCGGAGGGGGGACGGGCGGGACGAGGGCGAGGCGGAGGAAGGAGGAGAGGAGGAGGAGGGGAGGAGGGTCAGGAAGCGGAAGGAGGAGGACGGAGTGGAGAAAGGGAGAGAGAAGGTGGAGGTGAGAGAGAGGCAGGAGGAGGGTGGTGGAGGAGGAGAAGGCAGTGGAGGAGGAAGGAGGAGGAGGAGGAGAGGAGGTGGAGGAGGAGGTAGGAGGAGGAGGTGGGGGAGGTGGAGGAGGAGGAGGAGGAGGAGGGTAGGAGGGTGGGCGGAAGGAGGAGGAGGAGGAGGAGGAAAAGGAGGAGGAATGTCATAACGCTACAGCCTAGTTGCTTAAATCTGCCTAGCGTCAAACATGAGAAAGAAGGAAAAGGAGGGAGGTGGGAGGAGGGAGGAGGGGTCCTCCCTGTGCCACGGTCGCTTTCTCTATTTTTTCTTCTGCAGGCGTAGTTTGATCGCCCCTCCCCCCCCCTAGGGTCAACCGTTCCTGCTGGGATGGAGGCTGCGTCAGGATGACTCAGAGGCCACCAGCAATAGCAGCAGGAGGAGGAGAAGGAGGAGGAGGGAGGCGGAGGATGAGGAAGAGGAGGAGGAGGAGGAGGAGGAGGAGGAGGAGGAGAAGAAGAAGAAGAAGGCGGAGGAGGAGGAGAAGAAGGAGGAGGGGAGGGCGGAGGAGGGAAACGGACGAGGTAAGGAGGAGGAGGAGGTGGTGGAGGCAGGAGCAGGAGGAGCAGGAGGAGCAGGAGGAGCAGGAGGAGGAGGAGGAGAAGGAGGAGGAGGAGGAGGAGGAGGAGGAGGAGGAGGAGCAGGAGAGAGGAGGATCAGCGTAAACCCAAGAGTCATCCACGATGTTGAAAGACACCCTCCCTCCAATCTCCCTTTTCATAGGACCCTACACTGGTTCATTTTCACTGAGGGAACTGCCTCGTTGGAAGACAACCGTTTGAAGACCCTGAAGCGTGCCAAAACAATGCTCTCGGGATTCTGACGCCACGGATCAATCTGATTGCTGCGTTTTGACGATCCTGTATCGTGTCAAACGCCATTCCTGGGACTTCAACACCGCGAACCAACGTGACTGTTGCACCCTCATAATCCTGAATCCTTCCGGAACGCTATTTCTAGTACCCTGATCATGGGAATTCGTGAAGCTTTTGCACAGTTTATAGACGAACGTGCGCGGCGAGAAGGCGAGATCCACTATTTAAAAAGGAGCCGCTCTCAATAACGAATGTGCGGGGCGCTAAGGCGAGAGCAACATGTTGAAAACGGGCCGCCCTCAATCCGCAATAATCTTGCAAATGTTTAAAACGAATGTGCGCGGCGCCAAGGCGAGAGCCACATTTTGAACGACCCGCCCTCCATCTGTGAAGCTGTTGTCAACGTTTTAGCTTCAGGGTCATACATGGTAAGGAAGTCTCAGGCGAAACGCCCAGCCCGCCCTGAAAATCGGCCTCGAGATGCGACAGGGATAAGTTGTTTATTCGGAAAAGGAACGGAGGAGGGAGGCGGAGGAGGAGGAGGAGGAGGAGGAGGAGGAGGAGGAGGAGGAGGAGGAGAAGACGGAGAAGGATGGAGGATGGAGGGAGAGGGGAGGAGGTGGAGAAGGAGGAGGAGGAGAGGCGGAGGATGAGGAGGAGGAGGAGGAGGAGGAGGAGGAGGAGGAGGAGGAGGAGGAGGAGGGAGGAGGAGGATGGAGGATGGAGGAGAGGAAGGGAGAAGGAAAAGGAGGAGGAGGAGGATGGAGGATGGAGGAGGAGGAGGATGGAGGATGGAGGAGGAGCAGGAGGAAAAGTAGGAGGAGGATGGAGGAGGAGGAGGAGGAGGAGGAGGAGGAGGAGGATGGAATCCGTCCGATCCCCCATCGCAGCGGCCCCCCACCGGCGCTCGGCCAGGCCCCACGCGCGCGAGGCGTGAAGCTCCAAGCGCGCCTCGCGCAGCGCGGCCTCGGGCGGAGGCGCGGCCTTGCCTTAGAGGGCGGCGCGAGGGCTCGAAGGACCGCGCCGCACGCCTCGCGGGGCGCGCTCCCTGAGGCCCCATACTCAGGGGCAACGATGGGGGGGGGGGACAGGCATAGGGGGGGACGCATCCATTCCCAATCGCCCATTGATCTCCGATAAAGGGACCGATAGCCCCAACCTGCCCAGGAAGGTGCGGATTCACGATCGCAGGCCTATCGCCGATCCATCGGCGATGTATCGCCGATTCCAGGTCGATGCATCCCCCCCTATGCCAGTCCCCCCCAGGAACAAGAACAAGGCATACTCAGGGGCATAAAAAGAAGCCGGGCGTGGTCTTACAAGGCCGGGTGGTCGACGTTTTGGTTTGCTCTTTTCCTCTTCGGCTGGGCCTTCGATGGCTCCTCTGGGGGACAGGAGGAGTGAGGAGGAGGGGGAGGAGTAAGAGGTCGTCTCTCTGTGCGTAGGTCTGACGGGCCCGCGCCGTCCCTATGCGTTCCAGGACTTTTACAAGCTACCAGTAACACGGTGCGTGTTTGCGCGCGCGCGTGTGTGTGTGTGTGTGTGTGTGTGTGTGTGTGTGTGTGTGTGTGTG